GCAGGCGGTCCACCCTCAGATCGCCTTTCCATCCAACGGTTTTAAAGACCGTTCCGCAGCTGGCGCGGATCGCTCCGCTGGCGTGCGTTTCGTCATGGAGACCGCACCTCCAGGATGCGGTTTATAAGTAAAACGCATCCTTCAAGTGCGGTTTACTTATAAAACGCATCATGGAGGTGCGTTCCATAGAAATAGGTGCTATTTCTGTCAATTTTTTCATATGTGTGCTAGTTTTGTAATTTTTTTTTTAGGGTGCTATTATTGGAAAAAAGTAATTTTCATATTTTGAAAGAAAAAAGTATTGTTTTGGGCTTGATAATGAAATTCATATATTGTATCATGAGTGTTATTTCAGTCCATTTAAAGCTTATAATAATGTCGTTTAGAAGAAATGAAGTATTATTTATAAAATTACCATCGCATATAGAATATTTATTGAGCTGATCCAAGTAATAGACATCGATAGAACTAGGGGATTAGCAGGAAAATTAATTAAGTTAGGTCCATCTAAGAAAAATAAATACATTAATATTTAATAATATTATTTATTTATTTATTTATTTGAGATAAGACTAATATAGTTATGGAGTATAGATACGATACTCTGAGTACTCGTAGTGAAGTATCTCTATATAGATGATGCATTAAATCGATTTGGGAATATGATACTATACTCCAACATCTAATTTATAAATCTTAGTTTCACAACTTGTGATGCCCTTGTCATATTTGGTTTTGTTTGTCCTTTCACTTTCATTTAATATTAATCACCGTTATAAAAAAATGAATAAATCTTAGATTCTGATTCTCCAAACAGAAACTAGCATATCAATTTAGTAAAAATAATAATCATTGATTATGATTCATCGAATTACTGTAAGTACATCCAATGGCCAGATCATTTGCAGTATGATATACTCCATGAGTACGACAGTCGTTAACATATTGATATTTAATTTTCTATTTAGTACAAAAATAATTCTTTTAAATTGAAAGTGTGAGAGTAAATTCAAAATAGACAAATCAATACAAAAAGTGAAATAAAACAAAAAAGATTACAACTTGAGACCTCTTTTTTATAATGGAACTTGAGATCTCTTATATCATACTAATCATATATACCACTTTGATATATTTATTGTGTTTTGAAAAATCTTGCTTCTTTACGTATTTTTTAATGTGTCCATCTCTCAAGAATTTCCAGGGATGCTCAATCTTCCACCATAGACTAGACACATAAAGCTATTAGAAATAGATGTCAATCATTACTATTTACTAGCACATAGGATCATCCCAGTAGATCAATATTGACTGCTTTATTGTTTGTTGGGAACAATGTCCTTCTTTAATTTCACTTGTGGTATCATGGAGTTCGTCCGATTCTTATGAACCCTTTTACATTCTACGAGTACAAAGTACAAACACTCCCACATTCATAAAAAAATAAAAGTGGTACATGTCGTCATAGTGTCATGATAGTAATAACTTGCAATATTATTAGAGCATGCATTTGATAATTGTGGATCTCGTCAAGTGTAAAGAAAATAATTGGATAGAAAAGACAAGTGTGGAATACCGATAGTAAATTGTGGAAAATAGAGAGACTACCAAATATAATATATGCACCTTTTCCTTTCAAATTAATATTTTCTATTGCCCTCAAAGTTAGACTCTCCCGTAAGTCGCCGGCCCCTCGCCCTCCACTTTTGATCGATCGAGCATTCGAGCTCCTTGAGCCTGTTGTAATATAGTAATTTGGCTTTTTTTTTTTTTAATAAAGGTAATAGTAATTTTGTTATTATATAGCACAAATCGCCGGCCGAGAGAAATCAGATCTTTTTAAGGCAGGAATCAAATCTTTTGAGAGTAAGAGATCCCATCTAATCTTTCCGTAATTAGCATGCGCGTAATTAAATAAATAGGCTCAGTGGACAGCAGGCGGCATCTGCTGTTTCATGACTAGCCTCAGTTCGGAACGCGTTATGGTGATTACTCAAAATTGAGTATTCACGGTGGATACTAAAATTTACACCCTTTATTATCTTTATTTCACTCTAATTTTGATTTGACGGTGAAGATTAGATTACGGGTAATATGAAAATAAAAAAATATCACACCTGATTTTTATCCTTTAAAAAATTAATTTCTATCAACACACTTCTATAAGCACGTTCTTGGTGAGGAGGGGGTTGGATTACGAAAAGGAGGCCTCTGCGCGTTTCAAGGAATGCTATTTTTGTCATTCTACTCCACTTTTATTTTACTCACAGAGATTAAAGTAACTACGATGATTTCCTGAACTTGGGCTTCTATTCTTAGATTGGGCTTGGTTTGGCATTTATAATTTGATATTCACGTTAAAAAAACTAATGGTCTTCACATAAAAAGAATGTAAAAGCTTCTAAAATTGTGGCCTCAAGCCATGAAGCCAACTCTTTAAACAAAAACTTCATGGTAACCTCATTTTTGTAGAAAACTCCAATTTCATTATTACGTAGGCTAAGAAGACGGTGGCTTTCTATGATAACATAGTGGATTCATTGATGAAGAAAATGATATTATTTAGCAACGGCAAAATTAAGGTCTAAGTGTCGTTAAAAAAATATTAAGAAAACATTGAAAATCATAAATGACTGAAAATATGTTTTATCAAATTTCATTCGGCCAACGGGCCGCCCACTAATCTAGTATATTATATACCTAAACCCTACTCTAACCTTATTCTCTATCGCCGTCAATACACCTCTCTTGTTGGTGGTTCCTTCCTCCGCTTGCGACCATCCTCTATCTGCCCTCTGTCTCTCGCTGCCCTCTCTCTTCCAGAGAAGGTTGTGGCCGAAAAAGGTGGGATGAATAAAAATCCTAGATCTGATTTTTACCCCGCATTGGCAGTGATTTTTTCGCAGTGGTAATATTTTTCGCATTGGTATTGTTTTTTCCCGCATTGATAGTGATTTTTTCGTAGTGGTAGTATTTTTTCGCATTGGTAGTGATTATCATATATGCGTATTGTTTTTTTGAGAAATTGTAGTGTTCTTTTTCTGTAGTGGTAGTGTTTTCGCATTGGTATTTTTTTTATTTTTTTGCGTTGGTATTAATTATCATGTAATGGTATTGATTTGCATGTATTGATATTAATTAAATCTGCAATGGTATTGGTGTTTGTGAAATGATAGTGTTTTTATTTCTCGAATGGTATTGGTGTTTTGTGCATTGGTAGTTTTTTTTAATGGATTGGTATTGTTTTATTGTTGCAGCGGTATTAGTTCGATTGAACGAAAATAAGAAAAAGATTGAGAAAGGGAAGGAAGAGAGATCTGACCGGAGACTGTGGAAGTGAGAGAAAGAGAGAAAAATTGTAATTAATATATTTTGTCATACCCAATTTGCCCTTAGTAACCACGGTGATTACTATTTTACAATAATTTCCGTAACCTGTCCCGCCTCAGTTCAGTGGTGTCAGTGGAGCACCTGCCCTGAATTATATCATGAGTATATTCATCTGGATAATTAAGAACTAACTTAATTGTGCGTATTCCAAGTATTTGGTCGTTGGATTGGATGTACTTCTGAAATGTATGATACTCTTAAGTGACTTTCTGATTGTACGAATTTGTTGTATTTCAATAAATCAGTATTGTTGATAATTTTTTTTAATAAATTGATATTCAGTTTTATGTTTAGAGAATCAAAATTTAAAGGTTATGCATTAGAAGTTAGAATATAATGTTCTACTTCAAACTTAATTTAATTAATGATCTATATATACATAACTAATTTAACTACCCAACTCAACTCACTAATTAGCTTTGGCCGAATGCCTCCATTTTTTTTAGCTGTGTCCAACTCCAGCCATCCGACCCACCAACTCCAATATAATCTAGCTATATACTATAGATAAGATAATGCTAAACAAAACAGAAACAAAAAATAAAAGTATGTACTAAACTTAATAATGTGATCATTGGGAAAGGAAGCTCAAGCTGGCTGGGTGGCTGCAGGTGGGACGGAAAGGGCAACAACCCTATTTGGAATAGTACCGCATGTGGCATCCATTTCCTTCATAAATATATATACTTAAAATGGAATTAGATCCAACAGCGCAAATTGGTCAAAAAGAAAAAGTCTGTTTCTCTGACTCTATCCTCATATATATATATATTTTTTTTATGGTAGAGCGGATGTGGTATTTGTCAAATTTGTATGTCACGATATATGTTATTTGCTATGTACATATATTAATTAATTGTACTTAATATAAAATTTGAATCTCTCATTCTTCTCTGGATTTTCCATGTTCGTGACTAGTTTCCCCTTAATTGTCGGTTATTAATAATACTATATCACCCTTAACCAAAAAAAGAAAAAAAAATAATGTTTGAATGAATTATAAGTAGTGGTATTTTTTTATGTAGGATTTACAATTAATTAGTTTTTTAATTTAATTTTATTAATTTGTCCTACTCTCCTTCCATCTCTTGCTTATCTTTATGCATATGTTACGGTGTTAATATGTATAGAGTTTTATACGCCATCATAATGTAATAGTCTGTTTAAATTTCAGTTATAAAGTATTAAAAACATAAAGGTAAAAGAGGGGCAACCAAATAAAGCATGGTTACGAGGATAATTGGGGAAGAAGAGACAAAAGTGAAACTAAAAAGGAGAAGGTAGTTTGGGATTTACTAAAACAAAATGAAGACATAATTAAAAACCCAAAAGATAGTAATTTGTTATTTGAGAAATAACAACGCTCCCACTAATATTTGTCAACTAATAAATTTATTGCCACCGTTCGATTCTAGCAGAAAAAAGAAATATTAAATACCCAATAAGGGCAACTTTATCATTCAAAATTTTTTCTATTGCCACCAAATTTGGGCTCTTTCCCGTTTCTCACCACCATTAAAAAGCATTTCTACCTCACACTCTAACGGGGATACCGGACACCAAATTGGAAATCCGGCCGTCGGACTAGTTAGTACGTACGTAGAAATAGAATGGCTCTCTTGGCGACACGGTTGACAGCTCTCTACTCGGCGCTAGCCTCCTCGTTCGGCGTCATTTTGATCTGGACTCTCTACACCGGCGGCAACCCCGTACTGTTGGAGATCTACAAGCCGTAAGTCGCTCGCCCGCCGCCTTTGATAAGTTTGTTTCTTTTTTCATTTCTTCAACAGTACGTACCCTATTATATATATATTGGATGAACAGCTCAAGTTTTTTCGATCCTGTTGGTTTGCATTACGCAGATGGTTGCGTGCCGCAGTAGCTGAGTTAGAGATCAACTGTTTCACCTTTGCGGTATGATTAAACAGTTACCTACTTTTTTCTCTTCTTCTGCCGGCTCTCTTCAAAAAAGAAAACGATTCGTTAACCCGATAGTAAACTAGCTTTGACCTATTTATACAACTTAACTAAATAAACAAGCTTAACTTCTAAGACCAGTCCGTTTGAACCAACACCTAGCTAGCTAGCTAGCTAGTCTATGACTGTAACCTGAAAATCATGACATTTCCCTCAACAGTGATGGATCAATGTTTTTTTTATATAATATTTGAGATTTAGGTAACCGGAAAATCATGACATTTCCCGTCATATCTCTTACTTGAGTATTTTCTTTTTCCAGCAACAAAAAAGGTTCAGTTTATCTAATTATAACATGCACTCTCGTTTCAGCTCTGGACGGTGTACAAGGAGTCCAGCTACGTGTATTCAGGAATTTGGATATTTTTTATGTTCTGGACTGGCAGGTAATGAGCGTGCGTTTGCTAGCTAGCTAGCCGTTGTGCTTTCGATATTACTTTTTCCTCATGTAGTAAAATGAAAGAGAGAAAATCCAGAGCAAAGCTAAGTATAATAAGATCATGATATCTTTGAGGTCCTTATATATGTTGTTTCCCTTTGGTGCAGCCTGGGGACTTGCAGCTATATCTTGGTTCAGTTTCTCAAGTTGTCACCTGAAGAATCTGCAGAAGACCCTATCTACCATGTGTTATTGCGGCATGAACGCAAGTAAATTAACAAATTTAATGTGCTCCCAAGTCCGAAGCTTCATTTTTCTTGTCATTTTGTAACGTTTCATTTATCTTTGCATTCACCTCCGAAGTTTTGCATGTAGGAACTATGAGGAACAGAAGGCAGCCGGGAAGAGGTGTCGTCTAGTGGTTGCTGCAACAAGAATTGCTTATCCCATTTTGGGTTGTTTGCTGATAGCAACTGTGGTTTACGCTGCGATGACTGATGGTTCTCCTTTTCGCAAAGAGGTCCTCCTGGCACCGTAAAGTCTATCTTGTACCTCTGATATACTACTGTATTATTATTATTATTATTATTATTATTATTATTATTATTATTATTATTATTATTATGATTGTCGTTGCTGTCGTCGTCGTCGATGAATGAATGCAATATTTGATGTGTGTGTGTAGGTGGCAGACGACAACAGTGGTCGACTTCTATGTACACATTGTGGCTCTTTTGGTAAGTGCGCCTGTAACCGATTCTTTCTTGCCCAGGCTCGCTGAGCTCTTTCTAATAGATTTTCTTTCTTGAGTTTGATTTCTCATATTTTGAATCTGTTCCCAAATAGGTATGGGTTGTGTATAAGGAAACAAGTTGGCTAAGTGCTTCTCTGTGGATACTTCTATTTGTATGTTTTGGCAGGTAATTTTCATATTTTGAAAAAAAGGTATTGTTTTGGGGGCTTGATAATGAAATTCATAGTTTGAAGTTGTTGTATCATGAAATATAATTTATAAAATTACTATCATAAATTTTAGAATCATTTAAATCATCGGTCCTCCTTATGTTTGATTATTCTCTTCTCATCTCTCTCTCTCTCTGCAGTCTTGCTACTTGTGCTTACATGACAAAAGAGTTGTTTCAACTCGGTTCTCAAGATCCAATGCACCTCATTTTGTTGAAACACATCAGCAGGCCTGCCAGACATCCTCTTCTTAGTTCGATCAACTCTATCCAGCCGCCAAGGGTGGTGTAAATTTGACGTGGGAGAAACAAAATAATAATAAGAATTTTATCGTAGATTGTTGTTGTATCCATCTCTAATATGATTTATTTAGTACTGTATTATTGTATATATATGTTTTGAGTACCCAAATATTTTCCTTCCTTTCCTTTCAGTCAAAACGGTAGAGGAAATTCGTGAGATCAATTAGTATGGTGATAACAATCAGCATTATATGACTTGCTAGGTCAATCACAAGAGTTCAAACTTCAAACACTTTTTGTTTGGTCTATAAAATAGTGTTATCTTCTAATATATTACAATAGAATTATATGTAGTAGGTTTTCACCATTTCAAATTTGCTGATGATGATAGTGTCAAGAACCAGTTGCTCCCAATAACTCGAGTTGTTGGGAGAGGTTCAATCGTGGATCATATACCACAACACTAACACGCCCCCTCAAACGAAAGCCACTCACAAGGGCTTGAAGTTTGCACATGTCTGAAGACAAGAATACCATGTGCTTAACAAATGGGGGTCACCGGGAATCGAACACAAGACCTTTCGGTCACAGAAGGCTCTGATACCATGTCAAGAACCAGTTGATCCCAATAACTCGAGATACCATGTCAAGAACCTGTTGATCCCAATAACTCGAGTTGTTGGGAGAGGTTCAATCGTGGATCATATACCACAACACTAACACGCCCCCTCAAACGAAAGCCACTCACAAGGGCTTGAAGTTTGCACAGGTCTGAAGACAAGAATACCATGTGCTTAACAAATGGGGGTCACCGGGAATCGAACACAAGACCTCTCGGTCACAGAAGGCTCTGATACCATGTCAAGAACCAGTTGCTCCCAATAACTCGAGTTGTTGGGAGAGGTTCAATCGTGGATCATATACCACAACACTAACAGATAGAACAAATTTAACGAACCCTTAATATTCATTTCCCCCAATTTATTTTCCATTTTATCCATTTCCCCCACCTTTTGTTTTTCTCACATATGAGATTGTTATTTAGACTTTTTACTCAATTTTAATTTTTTTTTTGTTATTTGTAAATTTTTAATTGTGAATCTTTTAACCAATACTAATACAGAGTTGCTTGCAAATCCTACATTAAAAAGTTAAACAAGAGATGGTACCAGACATCAAATTACTAGTTAATTAATAAATGGAGACAATAAGGAAGGATCCCCATAATATTATCTCCTCCTCCCAGGGGTCACAAAAACATGCATCAATACGATTAATAGCTCGAAGCTCATCCGAACAAATAGGTTAAACCTTGAACTAAATCAATTACCTGATGCTATTGATAAAATTCGAACAAGAATATTATGGATAATAGAAGAGCATAATTTTTCTACTATGCAACCAAACATGCCAAATTATAGATGCATATATATGGTTTAGGCTCATATACGTTATACGTTTGCGTTCACACTACCGTATGCCCGTTAAATTTTACTATTTAGATCACGAATTATCCGTAGTTTGGGGCATAATACACCCTAACCTATAATGGGTGAACCCAAGACGGTAATTCTCCAACCCAAACTATAAAATCCATTTAATCTGAAAAATAATTATCAATGGTTATATGTTTCATCAAAATATATCAAAATACATATAACAAGTGTAAACGCATAAATATAGCATATGTCAGGCGTACATTAACATTTTTCATATAAATATACTCACAAATAGTAATAGATGAAATAAAAACAAACAATTATCAATAGATATCCATGGATAATCGAAATCCAAACGATATAAATATAATTGTGATTTGCTACTCGAAATTTGTACACGTATGACTATGAATAAAAACACAAACTAGTGGGTCGGATACTGAATACGCATTATCTATTCCAAACAGACCATTACAATCCCTACCTAATGAGTCCTCATTATTATTTTTCCTCTTTTTTTTTATAATGGTGATTAGAATGCATTAACCGAAAGGAAAGGGGGAAACTGTCCGAAGAGAAGGTAGTTCACAAGAGCTGAACTACCCGTCTCCACAATCAGCAGAACAAGAAAGAGAAAAAAGAAGGCGAAAACAAAAGGAACGGAGAAAAGAAATCCGAGCCAGAACAAAGGCGCGCAGCAAAAAACAACAACAAAAACAACAGGAGCAAACCCAACAAGTGGACCAGACCATTTCCGTGGGGTACACACGCTGACAAAGGTCGTAAAGGGAAGGAAAACCAAAACAGCAGCAGCACCGGACCTCAGCAGCAACAACAACTCTGAAACATTGCCATGGAAGGAAGCTCCATAGAACATTGCGCTCTCATCTCCAGCAGGAAGCAACCGCAGCAGAAACCTCGTCCCACGACACAGCCAAAAGGACAAAAACTAAATCCTCGACAGTCTCTCTTCAATCCACTGCTTACCCATTCTTTTATCCAGCATACCACGAGCAACCGCCCATTACAAAGCGTCCATAATGGCCTTGCGAGAGACAATCCTGGGCTGCGTACTTTTGTCGTTAAAGATCCTATTGTTTCTCTCAAGTCAAATCTGCTAGCAAACTGAGTGAAGAGCACCAAACCGAATCCATCCATTTGCATCTCCTAGTGAAGAAGTTGTCCACCTACAAATGACTCCAAGAACTTCGTCGTGCGGAATATCCAAGACATTGCAGGCCCTCCTCGATCTTTGCCACACATCATTGCTGAACTCACACTGAACGAAGATATGATCGACAGTATCTTCTTCTTTTTTGCACAGCTCACACCTATTAGCTAAAAAGCAGCCCATCTTCTTGAGATTGTCAATAGTTAGAACCCCATTATGAGCCACGAGCCAAAGGAAGCAGCAGATTTTTGTTGGAACAAATGCCTCCACACAAACTCGGCAGGGAAATTGAGAACTCCCTTGAACCTTTCTCCCGCAAGGAACCTGTACATAGAACAAAGAGAGAAAGAGGAACAAATGCCTCCCACTAGAAACCCGCTCTAAACCACTCGAATTAAGCAAATTAATTAAATCAAGTCTCTCCCTCCCCTCCCCCCCCCCTTTCTCTCATATTAAAATTCAAAGGAATGTGCCAAGAAAAGGTCTCACCAGAGAGGGACAAGGCGTTACAAACCTGGGCATGCGAAGAGCTCGAGGCAGCAGCAACTCTCGGGAAGGCATTAGCAAGCACCACATCAGGGATCCAGTTGTCATGCCAGAAGGAAGCTCACGCACCATTGCCAGGGTCATTGCTGACCAAATTCCAAAACAGGTCATAGTCCTTGGAGATGTTTGCCCAAACGGATACAGAGAAACCATTTCTACATCTCACTGTGCACCAGTCTGGGGCAGGATTCTGATATTTTGAGTTTATGAGGGCTCTCCACCAGCCCCCCCTCTCTGTAGCAAATCGCCACATCCATTTTCCCAGCAAGGCTCTATTGAAAGAAGCAAGGTCCAAAATTCCACGACCACCATGAGAAAAAGGAGCTTTGCAAATGTCCCAACTCACCAAAGGAATCTTCCGAGTGTCGCCCATACCATTCCAAATAAACCTCCTCTGGATACCTTCCAAACATTTAATCACAGAGCAAGGGCCGTGAAAAGAGAGAAGAAGTGTACAGGCTGACTTGAAAGCATCGCTTTATTAAGAGTCAGCCTTCCTCCAAGAGATAACTATCTCCCTTTCCACCCTTCGAGTCTCTTCTGATACTTATCCACGATGGGATCCCATAACGAGGCCGAATTGGGCTTAGCCACAAGAGGAAAACCCAGATACTTAGAGACTTCACAACTCCAATTGCACCCAAAAATTGACGCAAAGAACTCGGAGTTTGGGACATCACCCACGGTGAACATAACTGAGTTATCCAAATTAATTCTGAGACCAGTGACAGTTTGGAAGCACACAAGGGTGGCTAGGATGTTGATGACCTAATCATAAGCAGCATCACAGAAAATCAACGTGTCGTCTGCGAAGAGTAAGTGAGTGACCTTGCCGCTTCCAGTGTCTTCATTCATATGAAATCCCTCAATTTTTCCATTGTCCCGGATCTTGGAGATCATAAAGGAGAACATGTCCATGACAAGAGTGAAGAGCCCAGAAGACAAAGGATCACCTTGCCTCAAACCTTTCTGAGCACCAAAATAACCTTTGGACTCCCCATTGATGAGAACTTACAGCTTAATTAGGGCTGCACATGATACCCTAAATCCACTTATTCGAATGATCAGAGAAACCCAAGCGAGAGAGGAGGAGGAACATACAATTCCAGTTAACGTTGTCAAAAGCCTTCTCAATATCCAGCTTGAACATCAACCCTTAACAGAAGCGTGCTGATTTTTGGAGACAAGATGAGGGAGAACCGATCCCTATCTTCGAGAAAGGACTTTGCTAACAAGCTTATTAAAACTGTCTATCAAGCTAATCGGTCGCAGATCCCTAATATCTTCCACCAGCCCTTCATGGGGACTAAGTAAATAAAAGAATGAGTAATGCAGTCAGGAAGGAAGCTTGAGCTATAAAAGTCACCAAAAGTTAGAAAAACTTCGTATTTGATCCAGCTCCAACATTTCTTGTAAAACTCTCAAGTGAAACCATCCGGACCCAGAGCCTTCCCCCATTGCTCTAAGACTTGGCATATCATACATACTAGGGAAGGACCTAAGAGGTAGCCTCTCTTGTAACAAAAGTCTTGTAATACCCAACAACACCCGTGGCAACTGTCTGCATCCCTTCCCTCAACCAAAACATTATTGATTGAAATGCTAGTAATTCGGTTAACCTTGCGCCTGTAGTTTGCAATTCGGTGAGCACACTCAAAGTAAGAAGTTCAAAGGAGTTCCCAACATCATCTGCATTTTTGTTTTTAGCTGAGAGTAATAGGCATGTTACGCGCCAACTTGAATGGAATAAAAACAAGAGCCAAAATATTTCAAAGTGAATGTACAGTAAATTTGATTGGTATACTTTTTTTAATTTCAAAGTAAAAACAAAAGTAAATTGTCAGGCACGGAATATTTGTTAGAATTTTCACCACACCTGAAGAAACACATGTAAAACTTCCAAAATTGGTAAAAATAATACAGCTGGACTACTCATAAGAAAAAATATTTTTTAGCCCACAAATGACAACCTTAAATAATTGGGAAGATTAATACAACTGGACTACCCTCATATAATTTTATTTTATTATTTTTAAAGTACACCAAAGGGAACAATTGTCCGATTAAAAAATTGGAATGAATATTACAACCAACTTGACTACATTCATAAGAATCCAATAATAGAAAGACGTTTGAATACACCATTTACATCGGCATCACACTTGTAGCTTATTCTAAGAAATAGTGGCACGCCAAAACAATAATACATCGCGATAGCTAGGAGAAACACATGTGCCGAGAGATGAGATGGGATCAAATATGAACAACCGGTCCTTCACTGCTTAATATAAATCCCCAAGAAGTGCACCACGAAGAAGATCACAATCACTTCTCTCCGGCACCATATTGGTCTGCATAATATTAGCAAGCGAGCGATCTAGCTAGCTAGTTGAATTTGTTGCCGGCAATATATATGGGTAGTCGGGAGATGAAGGATACAGCAGTAGTTGCACCAAAGGAAAAGGAGGTGTTTTGGCATGATATCGAGATGCAGCAGATGGAAGGGTTCTGGTACATAGAGTCGTATATGAAACCCATAGCTGCATTCAAGTCCGGATTCCAGCCGAGAAGCGACGACATCCTCTTGACATCCATCCCCAAAACAGGAGCAACATGGCTCATGGCTCTCTGCCACAACATCCTCCATCCCGACGTTGACGAAAACGAAGACGCCCTCACGAAGATGAACCCGCACGAGCTGGTCCCCACCCTCGATGCCCTCTTCCTCGCCGACCAGGTCCAAGAAATGTTGCTTCAATCGGGTCGCACCAATCGTGTCTTCCACACCCATGTGCCTTACAATTGCTTGCCGGAGGCCGTGAAGAACTCCGGGTGCAAAATTGTACACGTGGCCCGGAACCCAAAGGACACTCTGGTCTCGATGTGGCATTTCTACCACGTTCTCTTCAAGAGCGACGCATCTCCCAATGCCCGATTCCCGCTCGAGAGAGTAGTGGAGAGCTTCTGCAACGGGGTCGTGCCTTACGGGCCGTTTTACGAGCACGTGGTGGAATATTGGGAAGAGAGCAAGAAGCGGCCCCAAGAGGTGTTGTTTCTCAAGTACGAGGAGCTTTGCAGAGACCCCAAAGATCAAGTTAGGAAGCTGGCTTCGTTTCTCGGGAAGCCATTTAGCCTAGATGGAGATCAAGGAGATGCTGAGCTGGAGAAGGTGTTGTGGAGGAGCAGCATCGGCAGGCTCCAGAATCTGGAGGTTAACAAGAATGGCATCTGGGAGCTACCAAACGTGCCCAAAAGCACCTTCTTCAGGAAAGGAACTGTTGGGGATTGGAAAAATAACTTAACGCCGGATATGGCTCAACGCATTGACGAGATGACACGACTCAAGTTAGAGGGAACCGGGCTTTCTCTTGATGATTTTTGAAGTACCATCATTCTAAGAGAGTCTTGATTGAGCATTACTGGATGGATGCAGCCGTTTTTCATTTGTTTTCTTTTTCGGGTGACTTTTACGCCAAGACTATCTATCACTGTTGGTTGTTTTCCTTATTTTATGTTTATGTGTTTGTCATTGACATTTTGTGTGTTTTGGTTCGTGTTGATGTGGAATAATAAGAATTGACCTATTAAATGGTTAAGCCATATATTTGTTTGCTAAAATTAATGTTCCTTGCTAAAAATGTGGAAATAATAGTAAATATTTTTAGGTGCACAAAATGTGTAGTGAGCATTTGTATATGAATTGTCCACTGATTATTATATAAAATCAGTTACTTGTCACTAATGGTCCTTTAGGTTGTTGTATGACGTGTGAAAAAATGAAAGAAACTTTTTGTAGATGACAATAATTTTCGTTTTTCATTTAATTGTTTTGAGGGGGTATTTATCTTATTTGGTATTTTTCGTAATCAGTTTAATTATGCGTAGTTTAAGAGAATTTATTGGGTTATGTATTCTGTAATTGTGGATTGGATTTATTAAGCAATAAAAAAACTATAAATATTCTATAGTTGTGGTTGTGGACGGTGTCATGTACGTATTTGATATTGGGTTATGTACGTATTTGATCTTTTTTATGGTATTTGTTAATAATGATGCATTGTTAATTTTGGCAAGCTATAATCTAATAATTCTTCAGGGATCTCTGATAGAAGAGAAGGCGGTATCGTTGATGGTGGTCAACCTAAGGATCTGGTTGATATCTTTTTAGATCTTGAGGCACAATGTGACCAACAAGCATCCTTGACCTCAGAAGCAATCATAGCTAGCAGTCATTTCGGTGAGATTATGATCAGCTTTACAAATGTTAATCTTGCTATTATGATTTGAAGTAGTTGGATTCCGAGAGTTTAAGACGGCATCCACCACTTCGTGTACTTATTCTGAGAGAAACCATATATAGAGGCGGTTGAGTTTGGTGGGTATGAGATCACTCACTGCAGGTTGTTAATGCACATAGGCTATTGCAAGAGACTCCTGATATTGGATGGAACCCGAGAAATTCAATCGCCATTGATGACGACGTGAATGATAATAAGCGATTGAATTTTGAGATGGTGCCGTTTAGTACAGGAAGGAGGAGCTGTACGTCCTGGGATATATGCTATTTGCAGTGGCTATCATCAAACGCGTGCTAGCGAATTTACTCTACTATTTTGATTGGAAGCTCCCGACAAATTAAGAAGACGCACGCGCGTCAGAGAGTTTGGACATAAGGGAACATTTCGGAATTGGAGTGAGCGGGAAACATAATTTGTGTTTGATTCTGGTTGAATACAATGCGATGCGGTGGATCAAGACATATGGTTGATTGAGCCATAGAGTAGAGGGAAGTGCCGTTTGTTTGGTGGCTTTGGCTTTAGGAATAAGGGAGAGGAGAGATATAAATAGCTTGTCTGATCGAGAGGAATTTCAGCTAGCTAATTCCCTTGGCCCTGGCCGCTACTAGCTTGACCTGAACCGAGGAGAGGAACTCTGTCAGCCCTGCCGTGGTTGCGTTTCAACAAAACTAGGTAGGCTGGATCTTGAGAAGTGAGTTGGAACAGCTGTTTTGTCATGTAAGCACCGAAAGCAAGACTGCATGCAGAAAGAGAGGTAAAAAAAAAAAAAACTCTCAACTACTCCATTGATGAGTGCACACATGCAAATGCAATGAAGGAAGAGGAAGTTGAAGTACCTGCCAAGACATATGAACAGAACCATCCACAGGGAGACACTCAGCCAACTTGTTTCCTTATAGGCAATCCACACCTATATATATAGATTGAGAAATAATGGATACTGAACCTGCAGCCCTAGCTAGCTAATTATATATTGAGAGATTGATCATTAATTTGTAGACTTACCAGCAGAACCACAGAGAGATAAGAGTGGTCGATCAGTGTTGTTATCACCCACCTACATACGTACGTACACAAATGCATGTTTGATGTTTGTTCAATTTTCAGGTCTAATCACAACCCGGCCACATTCGCTAACAAAAGTGACTTCTTTTTTACATTGAAATCTTACGGGGCGAGGAAGACCTCCTCACGGAAAGGAGAACCCGCAGTGAGAAGAGAGTAAAGCAGAGTTGCTACCATCAAACAAGTCAAAACTATGAAGCCAGCTCTTGCAACGCCCACTGAAGCAGACTTCTTCTTGCCCTTTTCTTCCTCGTTGTTCCTGCGGATCGGAGGAAAGAGCGGTCGTCTCAGTCTCGTATATCTTAAGCTTAATATATATATAGTCACTTTGAAGATCGATCGAGTTGAAGAGAAGAAGCTCACCTGTGTTCATGGCGCAACAGCACATGGTAGATAGGGTCTTGTGCAGATTCTTCAGGTGACAGCTTGAGGAACTGAATGAAGATGTAGCTGCAAATCGCCGTGCTGTACGTACGTATAATATATGATGCACAAACACAAGGCACACATATATATAGATAGAATTAAGGACTTCCCTTCAAGCATCATCAGATCTATACATGAACCCGGCCACTAAGCCATATCTATCTATCTATCTATCTATTGGTGAATCGGAGTAGTGTATAATTGAAGCGCATGCAGTAGCTAATTAACAAACTTACCAGCCAGTCAAGAATATGAGAAATGTCCAAATGGCTGAATGCACAAAGCTGGGTTCCTTGTAGGCAATCCAAACCTGAAACAGAGAGAGACGGTGAGAGAGTGTGTGTGTGTGTGTCTGTCTGTCAACTGCTGATAACACTAGAACAGATGGAGCAATTAAATCACACGAAGCCGAGGTAAAAACTAAAAAGCCAAGCCAGTTGAAAAAGAGCAAGAAATCGTGAACAGAAATGAAAGCTCCTATAATAATAATTAAATTATACCGCCAAGTAGGACATGTGGATGTAGATCTCAATGAAAGCGGCACACGACCATCTGCGCATTGATCAATTGGAAGAGCAAACACAAACAAGTAAGAAGGCAAATAAATGATGAGGATGGGGGTGGCGGCTGGCTTTTAGTTCAGTGATCATTGAGATTAATTACGTACGTGGTGTAGGTGTCCTTGGTGAAGGGAGGATGGGCGTAGTAGCAGTGGAAGATAATGGGGCCGAACGTGCAGGCTTGTACCAACAACAGAGTCCTTAAGCCGCCGGCGAGACCCATCCTACGTACAACTAGACTAGTTCCGGCGGAGTGAGAGGGGCATATAATATAATGGCCAATCAACGGCAGCTGGCGCTTGTGTATATACTTGTTTGTTTGTTTATGTTTTTTCTTTTTTTTTTTTCCTTTCCACCGACTTTTCCTGGGGTATGTTCAACAACTTTTTTATTATACAGTTATCATTTTCTCCATGCGATTCGACTCAAAATTGTTTCACTTTTCTTTTGAACTACAATGAACATAAAAACAAATGACTTTTTGTAAAAATTAGTTACAATTTAACTTGGTATGCTAAGAGGCTCTAAAATTAGTCTGAATATAAGCTTTCATAAATTCATCTTAATTATGCCCATTATATAAACAAATCTATGAACGAAAATACAAGGATTAACTATATATTTTTCAATTTTATATCGTTTATATAGGCTTATTGATAGGAACCACCATAAAAAAATGAAAATGGATAACCCTTTTTATTTTTTGTTAAATATAAGTAGATAACCCTTTTTTAAGAATGAAAAGTAGGTAACCCCAATTAAACAAAACAAAACACAAAGGAATATTTCGATTGCGGTCCAGCACATGGCCATTAATGATTCCAGTTATGGACAAATTATTTAAAAACAATAGGATTCCAAAACGGCATATGCGATGCGATCCACCAAAGATTTGTTATTGCCTTTTGCAAACCGATGCAGACAGCGCCTTAAGAATGACAGTGGCCCATGGTTAGGACTTGGGATGGTTTCATATACATTTCTTAAAATAGTAATTATCTCCATAATAAAAAGATAGACGTCATATATCAATACTTATCTCTAGTTTGAGAAAAAACCGGACAATCATATCTTAAATTCCTGTGCAATAGTTTTTAAATTACATCTAGAGCCTTTAGATAAATGTCGTATTGTAATCAATTTTGGATTTGTACAATAGCTTTTGAGTTTGTGTTGTAAAATGTGTTTTTGAGGATTTTATCATTGGATTAAAGAGTTGTTTGGCGGGAACCTTATAGTTTTGAGTAGAGCTCTTGAGAAACATGGCCTAACACATAATTAATATTGACAAATGATGAAAACAAAGGACAACGCAATTTATTTCAAGCAGTAGAATAACTGAAACAGTAAAAAAAAAAAACACGGACAAGAGGGATAGAAAGGATACAGATACAGTTTCCTATCAATAGGAAAATTAATATTACAGTCAGCTAAGCTGCTTGATGGTGGTATGGGATGGGAATGATGACCAAATCGTTTTTCCTTCTCAAATCCAAGCCCAATCTTTCCTCCATGTCCAAATCTTGGGGCTTCACTCCATTCGCGAGTTCCCAATCAAAATGATAAAGTAAATTTGCGAGTACAAGTTTAGCAATAGTAGTCCCGTAATGTACACCAGGGCACATTCTTCGTCCAGCTCCGAATGGGATGAATTGAAAATGGAGGCCCTTGTAATCGGTGCAAGTATTAAGGAATCTTTCTGGATAGAAAGTTTCGGGATCGGTCCAGTGATTGGGATCACGTCCAATGGCCCATGAGTTGAATATGACCTTGGTCTTAGCCGGTATTTGATATCCGTCAATCACCACGGTCTCTTGATTTTCTCTTGGAACGTTTAAAGGGCCAGAAGGGTGCAATCTTAGTGTCTCTGTTACAATTAATTGTAGATAGTACAACTGATTAATGCACGCTTCATCTACAATATCTCCTTTCCCGTTAAATACCTGTCTCACCTCGTCTTGTGCTTTTTTCATGATTCTCGGATTCTTCAACATCTCCGACAATGCCCATTCTATCACGGCGTTCCATGTGTTCGTTCCAGCCATTAATATGTCCTGTAGTTTATAGTATACATACATAAATAAATATACGATTGGGGGGTAAAATTAAAACAAACTAAATTTACACGTAATTAATTAAGACTAATTAATCTTCACGACAAATAAATAAACAAAAGTATGTATGTATGGAAAGTAATAAACAGGGCGGGCTGGGGCTACTCACGAAGATGACAGATTTAATCTCAACGTTGGTAAAGGGGAATCCGAGATCCTTGTTCTCCTTGAGATTGAGAAGAAAATCAACTAGATCTTGATCTTCTTCATCGTTCATGGCCGCTGATGATCTTTTTGCTTCATGGTCGCTGATTATGGTTTCAAGGATGGCATCCACAGCGGCGTGGAGCTTCTTGAGCTCGGCGTGGGCACCCGTGAGACGCCGCAGCAAGTCGCTGGAAGGGAACATGTCGACGAGGCTGAACCCTCCCAAGGCCTTCATCAGCTGTTTGGTAAGCGAGAAGAAGAGCCCGACTTGCTCCTGTCTCAGAGCGCTCATCCCCAGGACCACGCGGGAATTGACGCAACTCCCCAGGTCGAATAGCACCACGCTGAGGTTGATGGGCCCAGCAGCACGAGTTTGGGCGACCAGCTTGCTGACCTCTTGCTCCATGGTGGGCTGGAGGGACTTGACCCGCGTGGCGCCCAGCAAGCCCATGTTGCAAACCTTCCTCATCTGCCTCCAGTACTCGCCGTAGGGCGTGAACCCCATGTCCCGGCCGCCGTAGAATATGATGCGGGCAGCGGGCAGGAGGGGCCTGTCGAGGAAGTGGACGTCGTGGGTTTGCAAGAACAGCTTGGCCCACTCGGCCGAGGAGACCACCACGATCGGGACCTCCCCGAACCGAAGGCGCATCAGGGGGCCGTGTTGCTTGGCCAGGTCTCTCAGGCGCCGGTGTGGGACCGACGATCCAATGGCCATCTGGTGCAGGTTCCCGATCACGGGCAGCGCCCATGGTCCCGGAGGCAGCCGGCCAGACGAGGAGGACGAGGAGTACTTTGACGGCCTTTTCAGGAGGGTCAATATTGATATGATGACAAGACTAGTAGTGACGAGTATTGTGAAAGAGATGGTGATCGTGGCCATGGTCGACCAAGGGACGACCTCAATTCCTAGTGTTTTCTCCATTCGATCTTATAATTACCCTATCGAGTGAGTTCCAACAATAATATGTTTTGGACTTTGATTTGCAGTGCAGCACTTTATAATAAGCCGTGGGACGACTGAGAACTCAAGCGCAGGAGGGAGGGTGAAAATTAAAGGCTTATTTGATTTTCAAGATATTTCAATACTGTGCTTAGTAAAATTAATTCTTTCAACGAAAGGACGAAAGTAGCCACAAGGCTGGAAATCCAAGTCCCCTCGTGAAGAGGAGTAGAGAAAAAGATACAGGTTTGATCAAAACACAAACTCACATTCGTCACAATACAAACTCAAAATACTTCACATGTAATTATTATGACCTATCCACCATCCTCCTTCCCTCTCTAGCGGTCATGCCAATGACTTTTTGAAGCCCGAAAAATGGTTGGCCCGATTCTAACCGGCCGGCTGGTCAAAATTTCACAACCTTTATTAAAAATAACTACAATAATAATTAAGCAACACAAGTCAGGACCTGATCTGTATAAGTTTATTTGCGTTCCAGCTACACATTCTCCATCATGATTCCAGGAATAGAAAACACAAAGGAAAGCAAAGATTCCAGGACAAATAAGAGTGGTTGCCGACACTGAACACTGACAATTAATTAATTTTATTATCATTAATTAGCAAGTGGTACAGTTGGACCAAAGCCAAGATTTTTGCTTCTCCCACAGGCCATAGCTATAGCTAGCTAGTTTTCACATGGATCGGATGAGCTAGCTACCAGGCCGAGAACATGCTGCTCCTGAAATTTATTAAAACATTTCAGCTTTATAAAAAATAGCAGCCTGTAACTTGAGAATTGATATCGAACGAATTAAACTTATTTGCGGTTTACAACCGCAATGGCGCAGTTCAGGATTAACCGGACCGCGAATCACAAGCCGCTAAATAGTCAGACCACATCCTTTACCGTGCTTTGGATTGACCGCAAAAGCGATTCGGTGTGATTTGAACCTGTTTGACGACCACCCCTAATTATTAGGCAAGATAATGGTCTGGGCGTGGACCCGGAACATTATTTTCATTTACTCTAATAAATCTTGAGAAGTAACCATCCCAGAACCCTAATTGGATCAGATAATTCCAAATGTTTAGTGTTTATGATCTTATAATGGTGCCCACTTGAAAATTGCACACATTTGAGATGATGAAATGATTTAAAAGTAAAAACTTTGATAATTATGGTACCTTTAGATTATAAAACGATATAATGAGTCCCTTTCACAATATCATTTTGACAAGTATTTTTATGAGTTTTCCTATTCTACATATAAGACTATTCGTCCTAACTTATTTATTTTAATTGCCAATAATGCATCAAACTAAGTATACATGAATGATATACATTGTAAGAAAGTATGAAAGTTATCCATGAAGAAAAGTAGAACTTTTTAAGAAAATTTATAAGATCAAAATAAAAATATTGTAACAATCGAAATCAAACGGCAACAAATGTATTGATTATGGCTAATTCAATTTAATGCATCTCACGAAGATGTTTATCGGTACCCGCCGCAAAGCGCGGGCCAATTATCTAGTATTAATAAAATAACACATGTCAGTCAAGCATTGGAGCGGTGCACAGTCTAGTGGTATGCCGGTTGCACTGAAGAATTTCTCGATTCTCTAACTTCAATAAAAGGGAAACTAATGATGTATACGAATAAATAATTATATGCCTGATCCTAATCTGTTAAACATTTTTAGGCAAGATAATGGTCCATTTGAGCCACCAACTTTATTAAAAGGGAACTAAAGATATATAGTTCTATACAAATAAATAATTATATCGCTAATCCAAATCCGATAAACATTATTGGGCAAGATAATGGTCCATTTGAGCCACTAACTTTACTAAAAGGGAAGCTAATAATATATACAAGTAGATAATTATATCCCTAAAACTAATCCGGTAAACATGTCGCCAGATCTAACTTTAGTAACAATTTACTGAATGGGGAAGACTTTTATTTTATATGAAAAAGTAGGAGCATTGTCCATACAGATCGTCAGATCGAT